TCGGCCGAAAGGGGGAGACAGTAGTCATTGTCATTGTCAGTAGTTTTCTGTAATTCCATTGCGTCGACGCCATTATTTGTGCCGTTTCATTTTTTCAGCTTACAATTGTTTTTTTAGTAGTCATGACATAATTGATAAGAAACTTTCAATCACAGTAAACACCACTTCTTGAAAAGTATCTGCAATGTTACCTACCGGTTATGAATTACAGCGCCATCGTTGACTTGAATCCCAACTAATCGAGCATTCTTGACAAATATATATTTTAATAGTTATTTATGATGTAAGTGTTAGAAGTAAATTTTTAAGGCACGCATGTGAAAGTGCAGAATGAGCGAAGCGAATTCTGCAATTCACATAAGTGCCTTAAAAATACTTTTAACACAAATATCATACAATATTTTTTCTACAAACGGCAATAACCGGTAACAAATTGGATTTTCAGAATGAATAATAAATTGGAAGCATCTTTCCTACATAAAATTATTGAATTTGACATTTGTCAATAAAGCCAAACAACCAGCACCTTGTTTTACAGGTAATGAAATTTCTTGTCAGTTTCTTGAAAGTCTTGAAAGTCAGTAATGCTTTTTGCTAAAAATGCAAGAAAATACAGAAGAAAAAGAGGGCTGCATCGATCCCTTAAAAAATATAGATGAGGCGGTCAATCGGGCTACCTCAGTTGTTCAAATTTTACCATTAATGTTAATGTAAATAACTAGAAATACAAACTTTTTTTGACGGTCGCTCTCAAAATTTGATGTTTCATTTTTAACACTAGTGCTATAAAGACTTTATGGCACTAGTGCGATAAAGTAACATTTTTAATCCTACGGGAGGGTGTTAAAAATTGCATTTTTAACACGTTTGTAGAAAATAGTATATTATATACCTAGGTAGAGAAGTTGGTCCTTATATACCGAGCGCTTTTATAAACCGAGGCGCTCGCGCCGAGGTTTATAATGAGTGAGGTATATAATGACTTTTTCTACCGAGGAATATATAGAATTTTTTTTACTACTGCTAGTAGAAAATGAAAAATTTGTTTAAAATCTGTGCTCCAATTATTTTTTTTTGAACGCCCTCTTGAAAGTGCTGCCCTCTATCAACAGCTTATGATAACTTCCTATGTACCTACAGAAACCTGTATTTTTTTTCAAATTGACGTATGGAAATTAAATTGAACCAATAGAAACATGACAATATCCTTGCGTCATGACGTCATTTTCATTATTAACCTAGGTATTTTTTCATTATTTTCATTATTCACCTAGGGAGAGAAATTCAATTTTTTCCTAGAAAAATAGATTGAATAATGACAATTTCTCAGGTTAGTAGTAAAAAAAATAATTTTTAATGTTCAGGCTGAATTTGGCTTGCTGACTCTTTTCGCCTCATTTTCTTGAAAAAGAGTGGCAGGATTCGGCAGGAAGTTTCTAATGTCGAACATAGTGCAAAATAGCTATTTACCTAACAAGTGCGGAAAATGAACTTTTCCGTATGAGTCTGCCGTTCACCGAACGACGCGTAGCAGAGTTCGGTGAAGCAGTCGGTGCGGAAAATTGATTTTTTCTGCTGACGTTTCATAATATCATCTTTTCGATTCCATTTTGACGTGTTGTCCAACTCGGCTTTGTCTCGCCCATTTCGTAACTTATTGTATAAATAGCTATTTCCGCACGGTTGTAGAAAAAGAGTTTAAAGTCCTTCGTCGCGAGTCTCCCATTTGAGAATGTTTTCTAGAGGCTGTATGTTCTGTGCTTTCAATTATAATTATTATTATTCAGAAGATTCAGTACAATTTAGTAGTTTCTTGTTTAGGGCATATATGCGTGTTTTTTTGAAGAGAAAGGGGCGAGAATTTCATTTAGTTTCTGGGACCCATGAAGTATCTTTCACAAAACCGTTTTTGCTTTTCGGAATATCTCCGGAAGTATTCGGGATTTTCAAAATTCTGAAATGACATTTTGACCAGCCCTGTATCCCTTATGGTTATCGAGAACCCCATAATTACTAGGGATGCACCGAGTATTCGGTTTGCCGAATAATTGCCGAATATTCAGCCACTTTTGAGAAAATGCCGAATATTCGTTATTCGGCCAGCAGCGATAAGGTATTCGGCGAATGACCCAACCCACTATTCGGTGCATCTCTAATAATTACTCACTAGGCCTAGGCCGGAAAAGTGATTCCCGTATCGTTATTCATTGATTCCTTAGCAACTATTGAAATACAATTAAAATACCAGAATATTGAGTTTTGCGACCTGTCAATCGGTCAAAAATCCTGATATTTCTTGTCAATCGCAGAAAAATATATTTCAGATTAGTTAATTTTATTTCTGGTATCGAAGCTTAACAATAAGCTGTTTTTTACGGTACAGGGTGGCCCGTTTAAGAGGGGCCTATACCTTATCTCGAAATCTACAAGGGCTGTAAAAAAAAATTAAATACAAAAGTTGTTTCTAATAAAATTATCCACAATTTTTTTGCGTTGTTTTTGTTGTCACTCTACTATATACAGGGAGGACAAATAAAATTTCATTTTTCTAAATGGAACACCCTGTATTGTAATAAACATTTACATAGCCCTCTGAAAGACAAATCCATACTGGACGATATACTGGACATGTATCTGTGATATACCGTTTCGAACTTATTAGCGATTATCTTCAGGATTGGGGTAGTTTTCAACAGTTATTGTTACGTAACTCATAAACTTTTAAAACTTTTTTTGAATGATATTTTCTATAAAATAATGCTCTTCTTTAGACTATATTCAAATATGGAATGTTGTTTCAAAAAACGCGGTGTTGCCACGTTTCGCAAAATGTTACGCTTTTCAATTTTTTCAAATGGGACCTCCTGTAAATTTTCGAGTTTTTGGATAGCCCTTCAAAGAACAAATTAAGCGATATCTGGACATGGATCTGTGATGCACCGTTTCGGCCTGATTGGCGTTTATCTTCAGTTCTAGCACAATATCTCATGTCATCCCTGTTGAATGAAAAAAATGTCTAATTTTGCAGTGGATTAGCTGAAATAGTGCTTTTTATGCATTAATGGTGGCAATATTGAACAATTTTTTATACATTAATAAAGCACGTTAATAGACGGAAAAAAGACATTTTGTTATTCACCAGGCGACTTGGACAGATGAAATATTGTGCTAGAACTGAAGATAATTGTCAATCAGGCCGAAACGATGCATCACAGACCCATTTCCAGTATATCGTTGAATTTGTCTTTCAATGGGCTATCCAAAAACTCGAAAATTCACAGGAGGTCCCATTTAAAAAAATTGAAAAGCGTAACATTTTGCGAAACGTGGCAACACCGCGTTTTTTTCAAACAAATAATTCAAATGTCAATATAGTCTGAGGAAGAGCATTATTTTATAAAAAATATCATAAAAAAAAGTTTTAAAAGTTTATGAGTAACGTAACAATGACTGTTTAAAATTACTCTAAAGCCTGAAGATAATCCCTAATAAGTCCGAAACGGTATATCACAGGCACATGACCAGTATATCGTTGGATTTGTCTTTCAAAGGGCCACGTAAAAGTGTATTTATTAAAATATGGGGTGTTCTATTAAAAAAAAAAAAATAATTGTCCACCCTGTATATACATAGTAGTGTGACAACAAAAACAATTTAAAAAAATTGTATATTATTTTAATTGAAACAACTTTTGTTTTTAAGTTTTTTTTTTAAAGCCCTTGTAGATTTCGAGATAAGGTATAGGCCGCTCTTAAACGGGCCACCCTGTACATTTTAATTTCTTCTCATTTCTATCTCTGGTGCCTGGCGTCCCCTTTCCCCTTTACGATGTTCCCAGTTTGTGGATAATTTCTTCAACTTAGAGAAAACACGAATTTATACATAACAATACCTACTAACAATATTATTTATTTATAAAATAGGCAACCTTCAATAATTTATGGCTATAGATTTGTGAAAAAATGCTTTTCGAGTGTTTGCTATGACGCTCGCTGTTGCAATAATTCTTATCTCAAAACTTTATTTACGTTTTAGGATTATTTTTGCGAGTGAACGTAAGCATTTCAGGAGCTTGTTTTTCTCCTCAATAGAAGAAAAAATCCATTGGACCTGATTCTGAAAAATTAACGTTTCCGTGTGTTTCCCTTTAAATATTGGATTGTACTTTATCTATTGCAGCCTAGAAGGAAATCGCAATTTAAATGGGGTTCAGTGAATTCAAATTGATGTCAAATTTCACATCAAACCATCAATCATCTAATTATTTCAAAGCGGAAAATGTAAATAACATGAGAATTTTTCTTTGGAGCGAACTATAGAATTTTTAAACTTATGATGGAAAAAGTTCTTATCGACAAACACCCTCGCCCTTAATAAATATAGTCATAAGCCATACATAAATTTGATATTAAGTATTGAAATCGTCCTGAAATTTAACACTTTCTTTGGTCAACATTGACATTTCTGGACCAACGTTCACAGGATTTTTCGAATTATTTCAATTAGAGTAAGTAACCATAAAACCTAATTTTATAATTTTCAATTATGTAACACATGTTATCTTGATCACTATTTTGAATGATCAGTAAAAAAAAATATATTATTTGATTCCGTTAATAAAACATATAGATAATAACTTCTTTGAATAATAACATCTTTGCTGAACCAAATAAATTTGTGCTATACACTTTAATTATTTCATAAGCAATTAATTATTATTCAACTGAAATTGTGGGACATTTTGTAATACACTATTGTAACACTCGTTTAACCGACAAAAAGGTGCAGTAACAGTTCAATTTTAGTTTGAAATACGTTCCACATGGACGGATACGAATAAAAACATTTTCCACCAAAAGACTATTCCTTTTTGTTTTTATTTTTCATAGTAACTTTCCTTGAAGATCTTTATCGTGGTTGGTGGTTTAATTGCGGCTTACATTTATTTATATTCAGATAATTTGGTTTAGTGACAAAATATGATAAAACAACTAACTTACTTTGAATTAATAAAACTAATATCACAGATAAACAGTCCATAAGCTTCATCTTCTATAACTCCCACATCTGTCACTTATTTTGCAAAACTACTATTTCTCTTTAAAAAAATAGGTATAAATCACAGTCTTTGTTCCAACGTTTCCTCAATCATGATGTTATTCATCTTTATGCGGATCAGTGATGATTTGGCCGGATTTCTCTGAAAGGAACAATTAATTTTTGTTGAACTTATATAATTTCTTGTGCAACAACACACCAAAACTTGAACAGTTAATAACAAATCTGTCAGTTTTCAGGCCGTTGTTGCTAAATTAAGTCTCCTTTCACGATTTAATTAAATTCAAAAGTGTTTTATTTATTTTTGCGTTTTCGGGAATCGGTCTCTGGTCTGAGAGTTATAATTAAAACACAAATTTCTCAACTGGAAGTAGGTAGTCTAAACTTCAGGTCAAAGGAATTTGGAATGATAATTTAAAGTTTGACGTTTTAATTGTTTTTTTTTTGTTGATTATAATTAGCCCAAGAATCGCGGCCAAAATTCACTTCGATAGGTTTAGTTTTTTCAACTTAAATGATATTTCATGAGCTACTTTAATGAGCAAATTAAGAAAACATTGCATGTGTAATATTAAAATTAATAGTTAACTTAACTGTTAGGTACTTGCCTCTGTTATTAAAAAAAAACAATGTTAACTGGTGGAGCACTTCATCTTTTGAGAAAAGTAAAGAAACAAGTCTAGACCTATTTTTTTATTTTTATTATGTTGTTTACGTCTGATTATTAATTCATAAAGTGTTCATTTAAAAAGCGGCTATTTTCGTTGTTTAAATTTTGATTGTCAACAGCAGACTACACGCGCTCAGGTCCCTCGTAAACAAAATTGCGCTTGATAATTATTGCGATGTTGCCTTGTTTTTATCATAATTTTCTTCAATTTAAAATATTGGGTAATAATAATAACTACTTAAGTATTATAAGTAGTCGTTTAGTCTGCCATATAAAAATGTTGAAAAGGAATGGGAATTACTTTTGAATATTTAGCGTGGTTACTTCAAACTTAGCTTTTTGAAAATAAGACTTTCAAGATAATTTGTATGCCCAATTTCAGCCATTTTTGCGATATTTTCAGTTTTGTAAAATACTCTGTAGACATTAAACTTTTGACAGAAAAATTACAAAACTTATCCATAATTCAGGAAAATGATTTTTTACATTGGTAAATGCTGGAAATGTTGAGTAGCCCTCACAAAATCAAGATTTCCTGTCGCATATAGGACTTCTAGCTTCAAGAGACCACGAGACTAGTCTTGGTCTCCATCTCGGAACCAGACTCAGACTGGGACCTAAAAATCTTCTCGAGCCTAGACTTGACGTTCAAGACTGATACCGAGAGAAGCTTTCCCTCTCTTTCTCTCTCTCTCTCTCTCTCTCTAGAGTTTCGTTCACATAAAAGTACCTCACCTAACATAAATCGTTGAAGTTTCTCTAGAAGAATTTCATCTAAAATACATAATATAGCAATTTCGATGGCTGGCGCTGACAACACCCTCCCTTAATATTTATTTATTTATTTATTTATTTATTCAAAATATCAACAGCAGAGCCAATTACAGATACTGACTTAATAGTAATAATACAAGAATACAGATAACATTTAACATACTCTTAAAACCTACTTACAATCTCAACAAAGTTGATCAATCACAACATACAGAGAAATACAATTTAGGATGAATGCAGTTTCCTGTCAATTATCATTTTGAATGCCTACATCTACATCTGAGGCATAAAGCATCACACAAATTATAGATCGGAGAACACTTATAAAGATTGGTTCTAGGGTAGGCCAAGTAAAAAACATTTTTACTCCTTGAATTAATACGATTTACAGCAAAAGGAAGCTGTTCCAAAATACCTGTGCATTCAATATTATTAGTCAAAACCCCATACATAGTGTATAAAAATATTCTTATCCGCCTTTTCTTCAGTGACAGTCTACTGAACACACCCAACAAATAGTCATTGCTACAGCCACGCTGGGGATAAACTCCAAACTTTCTAAAGTACAGACATTTCAAGAATTTTCGCTGCACACTTTCTATAATTTTATTCCAATTATGGTATTGGAGTGACCATATTACGCTGCCATATTCTAAGATGGGCACAACGAGACTGTCAAAGAGAGATAAGCTAATGCCAATACTAAAACATTTTGTGTTTCTTGTAATGAAACCTGATACCTTCTGAGCACTAGAAATTTTTGACAAAATATGTCCCGAGAAAGACAAAGCAGGATCAAAAATAACTCCCTGATCTTTTTGCTCAGACACTCTTTTCAGTTTTACATTACCTACAGAATAATCATAAATGACTGGATTTTTATTGTGTGTGAATGACATGCACACAGATTTATCAAGGTTCAACTTGAAACTATTCTCAGAACACAATGCGACAATATAAGACACCTCTCTCTGGAGCACTGCATAATCCGTGATTGATGAAACTTCAAAAAACAACTTCAAATCATCAGTAAAACCAAGTTACTCAACATTCCTTACTCCCAACAATACCCTGTTAAATGCGATCAAAAACAAAAGTGGACCCAGGTTTGACCCCTGTGGAATACCTGATGTGCTGATAAAAACTACCGATTTACAGCCCTTAATTTCAACATACTGACATCGTTTACTTCGGTCAGTACCCAAGTATGAATGAATCAAATCGATTATAATTTGAGGTACATCCATATCCCATGATATCCCCCAGGCTTCTCAATATTTTATACCTTAATATGTTATAGCGGTTTTATTTCTGGAGGTAAACTTTCTAAACAAGCTTGTCAAGAACTTTTCATGTTTTTCTCGTCTTTTTAACTTCGATATTCCAGGTTTTATTCAAATTCCATATTTTTCTCTTTTCATTCCAAAATGGTTCCATTTTCCTAAGTTAGATGATTTCGTTTCTCTTCTGCAGAGGGTTTCTATTGACAACACAATCAACTTTCCAGAATATTGAATTTTATATAGTTTATAGAAAAGTATCGGGTATTCAAATAAAAAACCAATCAAAGATTGCTATGGTTTTTTAAACGTATGTCTTAGCATAATTTTTCTTCAATTTTGTCAATGAAGTTTAATGTCAAAATGTCATGTCAAAAAACCTGACCAATAAAGAAACAATAATGCGACGTACGTTTTCGTAATCAAAGAAATCTTTGATTGGTTTTTTTTTTGAAGACCTGATATATGAGGCGCCTATAAAAAAAACTGACAAAGCCTTATACATAACATACAATGATAATATTGATTAACATCTCCCCAGCCATTCCAAACAGATTTTGAAAGTTGAAAACAAAACAGATCTTTGCTATGATAGTTTTTTCTGTATATAAAACACTCTAGGTCAAAAAGATTTACTGACACTTGGAAAGATAAACTCAACTAGTCTGTCCCTTTTGTTAATTTTTATCCGAGTTGACAAACATTTCTATAACATCGGCAACCCTGCAAGAAAAGCATCGATATGATTTTAGCGGTCATTATGCGCGAGACTGAAAGTATTATTCACCAGTGGCATTTATGTTCTTTTTACCTATAAATATCTCACGGATATAGATTTTTTATCATAATTTAATGTCATAGTTTAAGAACTTTTTATTTAATGAAAAGCAATCCCTAATTGTCCGTCTACCTATTTAATATTTTTGATGCCAAATAAACTCATAAAATTATTAACTGTTGGTGGAAAAGCCTCGCATTCACCGCCGGCTCGTAAACTGAGAGGAATTTGGCGTCATAAAATATGCCGCCCATGACGTAAAAAAAGGACAACAGTCTAGAGAGGAAACGGATTTAATGTCTTATTGGAACTAAATCTGCCGACGTCTGAGTCAGAAGGCCGCAGCCAACGGCCCTCCCGTGTCTATAGGGTGACTCAAAAAGCGTGTGGCAATATGCTTTATTTCATCTTATCATGCATTCGGTTTCTGATGAATCTTTTAATTTTGTAGATGGTCTGTAGATGATTCAGCTTTAGATGGGTATTAAAATTGACCAGCCCTCTTTTATTATTCTAGCTATTAGATATAAAAATAATGAACCATTACCTATGTTTTTAATTATGTTTTGGTATCTTGTTACTGTCACAAAATAGCTATTCATGATTATGATTTTGTTCAATGAGGATTTTATTTGCTCATTTTCTTGTCAGATTGTGTCTTAATACCGAAGGAGAAAGTATTATTTGAGTTTGAGTTCGTTGTTCTCTGCATGCATATATTTTTTTTTCAAACATATTTATAGACCTCTAAGAGGTAATATCGGGGCAATTTTTGTTGGGCTGGGTTGAAGACCCTTTATACTTTTTTTCAAACCAGATCGACAATAATGTTGCAGCTAGTTGATTTGAATATTAATGCTTTGGATGAAATCTCCGTTGTTACTGCGGGAGCTTATTTCTCTGTAGAAACTGTTTATTTTGAAGATGTTAATAATTGGGCCTACTTAAAGTCTCTATTCAAATGAATAAGATTATTTTTATTATAATATTGCAAGTAATCTTTTGAATAATGATTTGGTTGAAGAAAATCCTTTATAACGCCTGTTCTGTTCTAGAATCCATTCTCTGTATCCAACCTAGGGTGCAAAAATATCTTGATATTTATATAAATATCAAAATATCCGATTTTTTTTTATATATATCGGATATACAGTGTGTCCACTCAAATTCGCAGCATATGGGAAACTTTTTTATTATCAATTTAAAAAAAAAAAGTTATGTACATACGTATTCTTCTCTTTTTAAAACCTTTGATATTTTTTTCAGATTAGGCAAGTAATATTTCAGTCAAAAGATACCTTTCGTTATCACAAAAAAACCTGCTAAATTTGAAAAAAAAATTGGAAAAGGGATTTTTCAGCTAAAAAAACGTTTTTTTCTAGAACTTTGACACCCTGTATCTGAGAAACTACGTATTTCCGGACACACGTTTATGGGAACTTTCTTTATTAAAAAAAAGTAAGGAATCACATCCTGGAAGTTTTGAACCGTACTTAGGAAATACCCTATATATTTTTCTATTTTGTGACCACCCTGTACATGCTATTTCAAGTTTTAGTAGTTTATTATATTTTTTTTCAAGACGCAGAAACTTTTATAAAGAATAACTTTTTTTCGTAAAATTGATAATAAAAAAGTTTTTCATATGCTGCGAACTTAAGTGGACACACTGTATATCCAATATGTGATATTTATGATATTTTCATAAAAAGTTCAAGAACGGTACGTGACCCAGCTTTTTCTTTGATATAGCAATTTGGTTTGCTATCCTAACATTCCTAACTGTTGAAAATTTTCTTTCTCAGGACCGGTTTTTACGTGAACGGTTATTCAGTTCAGCTGTTGGTTAACTGATATTTATCATTGGTTTATCGACAGCTAAATTAGATAACCGTCCACTGATAAACCGTTCATCAAATAGGAAACACCCAAAAACCTGCGATGTTTAACTTCTGGTTACAAAAAGCGTTTTGGCTTCTGGTTAATGTTTAATATCGCTAACCATATCCCCATATCCTAACCTTGCTAACCATTTCGTTACCGCTTTATAACTATTTTCCGTAACCTGGTCACAGGGTCGGTCCAATAGCTAATATACAGGGTGGTCCTCCGGGAATGACATCGATTGCTTATGGGAAAACTGTGAAAGGTAAAAATTTGAAAATTTGGCAACATAGCAATGTCGATGGGGGACATCCAGGTAAAATCCAGATAGCGGCATTTCCGGTCACACCGGAAGTTGATACCAACTCGGTTATTTTAAATAGAACACCCCGTATATTAATGTATTTTTGGAT